CAGAGGCTTCAGACCCATTCTGTGCATCTCATTCTCACTCTGGTTTTGCAGAATAGAGAATGACTGTATACTTTACCCAAGGGCGACTCAGCTGGTTGTGGCCGGGCTCGGGCTTGAACTCAGGTCTCAGGGTGGGGAGATGGGTGCTGCCTCATGTTCTTACTGCATTCAGAGGGCTTACAAAGGCCCCAGTGACCAAGAAGGAGGAAAGAATCTGATTGCTTGCCACCCTTGGCACTCTCTCATTCATGGAATGACCAGATAGTAATTCCATGGGAATTCCGGGCCAGGCTGTGTGCTGGTCCTAGCCCTGGGATGACTCCAAGCCAGGCTTGTGCTGGGCTCCTGCCCTGGGGACTGTTGGTTTCTCGGACTCTTATTTCTCTGCAGCATCCTCCGTCCCTTGCCTTTCGCCCCTGTTCCTGCCGGTGCTGCCCGGGCCCTGTCCCAGGAGGCTTCCATGCTGCCTGTCCCCATAGTCACATTAGGACGAGTCTGGATGACCCCAGGGAGATGGGCTCAGCATGCAGCGGTACCTGAGGTCTTCCCAGGTCTGCAGTTAAGAGCACAGAATGAGAAGGAACAGTCCCGGACACCTGCTGCACACCATGCACACACCTCCCTCTTTCATCCTTCCGCTACCCTACACAGCGCGGCTCTTGTCCTTACTGCCATGTTACAGAAAAGAGGAAAGGAGAACAATCCATCCCGGTGACAACGGGCAGCTTGCTAATGGTCACATTGCTGCAGCTGTCAAGGCGAGGGTTTGGGCTCAGACAGCTGGGCTCCAGAGCGCAGGCTGTCGTCACCAGCCCCTGCAGCTCACGCATGCTGCCCGCCTGGCAGGCCTGGGTCGCACCTGACAGTGGGCTCTGCCCTGGGGCCACGAAGGGCAGTTCAGCAAAGCCTTTGGACCACACATCCACCGGCTGGGTGGATTTTACTGCCTTCTTAAAAGGCTTGGTACTTAAATGGTTACTTATGTTTTCTGACATTTCAAAAATGACTCTTTTTCCCCAAAAGCAGATTAAATAATATGAAATTGTTATTTTTGCAGAGATGTAAGATAGCTATGCCCAAGATAACAGAGAATTTGTTTCACAAGTACAAGTTCTTGAAAAATAGGAAGACAAATGTTAGTAATCTCACACAAAGCCAGGGGAGCCATTTGCTGCCTGCTGCTACCCCTGCCATGGACATTTGAAAATAAACCAGACTGTGGGATTGTCTGGCAAACATTTGTTGTTTTGTGGATGCACAACCCTGGGAACTCAAGGATAAATGAGATCCAGGTCCAATTCTCCAGGGGCTCTCTTGACAATGAGGAAGATAAAGCCAGTGCCTTGGTGTAACAGGTGAAACCACTGCCCGTTCTGCCAGCATGACATATGGGCACTAGTTCAAGACCTGGCTGCTCCTCTTCCAATCCAGCTCCCTACCCTTGCACCCGGGAAAGCACCAGAGACTGGCCCAGTCATTTGGGCCCCTGCAGCCACCATGGAGACCTGGAAGAACCTCCTGGCTCCTGGGTTTGGCCTGGCCCAACCCGTCATTGTGGTCATTTGAGTGTGAACCAGTGGATGGAAAATATCTGTCTCCATCTCTCTCTCTCAAGTAAGTAAGTAAATCTTTTGAGAAGAAGGAAAGAAGAGAGAAAATGGAAAGGAGGCATAAGTCCTTCTAGTCCAGTGAGTGGATGGGCATGGGCATGCCTGGGTCATGTAGGGGCTAGGAAGGGACAAGCTGGCCCTCCACAGGACTCGGGACTCAGCAAATGCAGGCTGGAGAGGGAACCCACTTGGGTATCTTCATTATGTGTGAGAATAGAATGGGATCCCCATGTGCTGGCATTTCAGGGATGTCTTGGTGGTTTGTCTTGATCATCTCAAGGGAATATTTCAGGCAAGGCCTGCCTGGGCAAAGTGCAATGTGGGAGTATCCTACCTCATTAACGTTCAGATTCTGCTTATTCATGCTGGAGAAGCTGAAATCTGGGAGGCAGGGGATTAGTTCCTCAGAAGTCTGTGAAACATTAAACTTCCCTTGTCTTACATTTGCACACCACAGCCTGTTGGAGTAGGGACTGCAGAAATAGCCTACTAAATGATAGAACAAAGTCCTACTTCCTGGGCACGGGGTGATGGGACAGGGTGAGTGGACATGTCGGGAGCCAGAAAGGGCCCACCAAGGGATCTTTCCCCTCCCCTCACTCTGTGCACCCACAGAGCCAAGCAGGGGACAGAAATGCCCTCTGGAGGGATACTCAGGCACCCCCTGACTGCCTTCCTCCTAGGACGACTTGGTCTGATTCCAGGGACTGAGGGCAGCGAGCATCTGCAGGTGGCTTGGGCTTAGTCTCCATGTGTTGTCTGCAGAGCCATAGGAGCCGCCTGCCAAGGCTGTGGCTCTCTCTCCTGCAGTGGCTTCACTTCAGAGGGTTCCAGGGCAGCCCCAGCTCTCATGCTGAGGTCAGTTTTGGCTGTCCAGGACAGTGACTTGAACTGGAAGGAAGAAAATGTCACCTTCAGTTACGTTACACACATGACACAACACGTGTTTCAGCTTCTGAAGGATGTCATTGTTGGAAACCCCTTCTCAACCTCTCCAAGAGGAAAAGGAGAGAGGGGCTGCCCTGCCTCTGCAGTTCACACAGCCCTGTTGATGCCCTTGGTGAAGTTGTACTAGACCCACAATTGAGTAAGAGTCAAGGTGAACCCCACAGCAGGGACACTGTTGCCCTGCTAAGATTGCCAGGATACGTGTGAGCTCAGTGAGGGCTGAAAACAAGGTACCTGATGAAGAGAGCTTGGAAAACTCCAGTGCTGATTATAGTTGGGGTCGTGCAGCTGAATCCCCAAGCCTGTGCGTGCCCTCTCCCCATTTGGACGGCATAGGACTAGCGCAGCCCACAGCCCCGCAGGGCCCTTCTTGTGGGCGCATCTGAGCCCTGCTTCTGCACATGCAGATGAACATGCACATTCTCAGGACCGCCCAGGAGGAATATGAAAAATAGGGGCTCAGAACCCCCTATAAGTCCGCCCCTGTGATTCCTAGGGGAGATGGGAAAGTCCGGGCAGCACTACTGGGGAGACATGTGGTTTTCTGCCTTGGTGAGCAAACTCCAACCCAGGGCTCCTCTGCCCGCACCCAGAATAGACTCCTGACCTGGGGGAATTTCCCCGAGCTGGGCAGCACGCTTCTATTTTTAACATCTCCATTCATGAGATGCTATAACCTTTGACTCTTTTTTAGACTTGATTTGGCTCCCAAAATATATCTCATGCGATGAAATAAGTGGGGAAATCTAGACTATAAAAAGCTGTAAGTCAGGGCTGACCTTGTTGCGTAATGGGTTAGGCTGCCTCCTGCAGTGCCAGCATCCCATATTCACTCCAGTTCAAGTCCCAGCTGTTCCACTTCTAATCTAGCTCCCTGCTTATTGTCTGGGAAAGCAGTAGAGGACAGCCCAAGTCCTTGGGTTCCTGCATGCTGATGGAGACCTGGATGAGGCTGCTGGCTCCCGGATACAACTTGATCCAGCCCCAGCCGTTGCAGCCGTTTGGAAAGTGAATTAGCAGGTGGCAAGTCTCTCTGTTTCTTCCATTTACCCTTCTCCACTTGTTGCAGTCATTCTGCCTTTCAAGCGAATAAAGTAAATCTTAAACAAACAAACAAACAAACAAAAATGGGCCTGGCACGGTACCGTAGTAGCTAAAGCCCTTGCCTTACACATGCCAGGATCCCATGTCCCACTTCCCATCCAGCTCCCCCTGCTTGTGGCCTGGGAAAGCAGTTGAGGACAGTCCAGAGCCTTGGGACCCTGCACCCACATGAGGGTTACAGAAGAGGCTCTGGGCTCCTGGCTTCAGATGGGCGCAGCTCTGACCATTGTGGTCACTTGGAGAGTGAGTCAATGGACAGAAGATTTTCCTCACTGTCTCTCATTTTCTGTGTATCAGACTTTGAAATTTAAAAAAAGATAAATCTTAAAAAATAAAAAAGCATGCTTATGGGAAATAGTATAACATACTGGGCCCTGCGCCATCTCTGCTTGTTCACACTGTCACCTTGCACATCTGGACATGGGTATGGGCTCTCCTCACACCTCTGGTGGCACGCTCCCTCACTAAGGCATCTTGTCCAACACAGTGACTGCGTGTGCTGCTGGGCTCTCCAGTCTCGCCACAAGGTTCCTGACACAGGACAGAGACACACATTAGGAGCCCCCTGCGTAGACATCACAGCACTTCTGAATGTGCCATGTAGCCAAGGCTGGCTGTAAATTGTAATCAGGAAGACGGGCACCTGATGAGCACTGCCTGGTGCCAGCCAGGGTGTTAGTCAGGTGGCCTTTCCAGCCGCCATGCAGGCAGGCCTTGTCCACTCTCCCAGGTGAGGCTCAGAGAAGGGAGGTGACTTTGCCAGGTCTCCTAGCAGGTCCGGAGCAGAGCCTGGGACTCCACAGCTCCAGGACCCCCTGTCATCTCCCTGGGCAGGGGTTGGTCATACCCCTGAAGGGGAGGCCCACTGTATTGATGTGTTCTGCCCTGGTATAGAGTGTTCTCAGAGTACCCCAACTCTTCCGAAGCAGCAGCATCTCATCCAGGCCCCCTCGGTGCCTGGCAGCCTGCTGAGACAGGTTAGTGGTGTGTTTTATTGGACAGTGCATCTCACACGACCATCACCAAAGGGGGTACTTCTGCTGTCTGTAGGGCTCCAAGGCCCCATGGGCCACGTGCTCTGCATAGATTGGCTGAGAGGTCTAAGGGAGCTGACCCCAAGGCACCCTGGGCTCAGGGATCACAGCCAGATCACCCTGGTGACAGCACCCAGCAAGGCTAGAGGGATGGACCCCCTGGTGGTCAGCGTGGAGTAAGCTCACTCCCTGGTGCCGGTGGTGTAAAGGAGGCTCCGGGGTCAGCTTCAGTGTCTGTGTGGGACCAGCTCAGAGCGTGCACACAGACCCAGCCACATCCTGACCTTCTCATTTCGTTTCTCAGGCAACCTCGGAGCCCGTCCTGGACCCACAGCAGTTCCAAACGTTCGATCAGCTGTGCCGGCTCTACCGAGGGAGTTCCAGGGTAATGTCCTCATGCTGCTTTACGTTTTTATTTCCCATTTATAATTTACCACTGAGGAAAGGCAGTGCCCTTGAAGCCTCCTTCTCAGCCTGAAAAAATGCTCCAGCCATCCCCCTTCGGGCCATGTGTGGCCAAAGAGATCCTGGTGCCCACCAACTCTCAGAACTAGACCAAGGAGCTAGGGATGTCTGTCCCTCCCCTCCGTGGGCTGCGAGGACTCAGGCTCTCCCACCCACACCAGGGCAGCCACTGCGAGCCTGTTCCCAGCCCCTCACCGTCCTGGGCCTGTGCGGTGGTTGACGTCAGGTATGTCAGGCAAACCAAGTGCGAGGTCATAGTGACTTCAATAGTGTAGATGGTTCAGTGTTGGTTCTCCCTGTCTATGGCCCTGCCATCCACAGCACGTGGCTTATCCTGATCACATCTGCCTTTCTGGCTCCAGATGGAGGAAAGGACAGGAGAGAATAGGGACAGTTCCTAGGTTCTGACACCGTCCTCACCCCACTGTGCCCATCTCTGTTGTAATCCTTATTGCCCAGGAGGCTGTTGGCAGGCTCAGTGTCTGCGGGCTAGCAGATGTCCTTGTTGGTTTGCCCAGCCTGTCCTGCTCACCAAGGACTGCCCCAGCAATGGCAGCTTCTCTCTGCTGGGTGCTCAGGGCAGACCCTGTGGCAGCCCTCACCTACCCTCACTCGCTGGGAGACCCTGGAGACATCTTCCCTCCACCCCCGACCCCTTGCCTTCCCCGGGCCTTGAGTCAGACCCCTTTGGCACACAGAGGCAGCGCCCCCTGTTCCCCCCTCCTCTCTGTTGCCCAGACGCTGTCTCCAGATCCAGTGTATCACGTGACCCCTGCTGCCTCAAGCACGGCTGGATCTCCACCACATACTGCACAGAGGCCAAGTCCCCCTCACTGCATCCTTCCGTCCCACAGCACTAGCCAGCTCTGGCCTGTCCCCTGTGCTCATCCTGAACTTGTGTCAGCTGCTTTTCTGTGCTAGGTCTCTGCCTGGGCTCCCTTCTCTTGGTGCCCATGCTTAAGCAAGCACTGGCCAGGTTGTTGGACAACCCAGAGGAAAATGGTCTTCCTGTTTGAGGGGCAGTCTGACCCAGGAGATGTCTACAGGACTCCCCTGAACACTGGCAGGAGCTCCCTTCCTGCCCAGCCTTGGCTGCATTCTTCCTGCTGGGCTTCCTGGCATCTCATGCAGTTTCCACTTCTGGTTGTGGGCCATGCTGTGGGTGCACATGTATTCCAACCACTGAACTGTAGAATGTGGAATGTTGGACCTAACAGCACCTGCCCTGCAGAGACCCTTGTGGCAGAAGTGGGGAGGCTTGACCAGAGCAGGAAGCCTGTCTCTGGGAGTCCCCGGCTGGCCAAGTCAGGTTCGCAAACCAGTCCCTGGCTCTTCAGTGCAGAACTCATGCTGGGCAGCCTTGCAGAGCTGGTGAGTCTGCAAAAGCAAGTTGGAAACCCATGGGCACTGTGCAAAGTTGCTGGCCCCACAGAGCGTGCCCAGTGTGGAGGAGAGCCAAGCCAAGGTGGTGCAGCATGGCAGCAAGGGATAGCAGGGCCCACATGACAGCCAGGGGGAGGAGCTCACAGTGTGGGCAGCTGCAGGGTGCCCTTGAGCATGGCCCAGTGTCCACCATGGAAAGAGGAGCTTCTATTCCCTACCCGCCCCACCACCAGAAGTAAGTGGGCCATCCACGGTGCAGTACTAATGCGTCAGATTCACTGAGGGCCCCTGCCAGGCCCTGCTTTGTCGCAGGCAGCACCAACCTAGAATTGATGATGTCTCCAGCTCTGTCTCCACACTCCCCCACTTCTTTAGGGTTCCCCTCCCCAAAAGGGCACTGCCTGCCCTGGCCCTGCCTGATGCTGTCCCCTCCCTTGCAGCTGGCCCTCCTCACAGAGCTCACCCAGAACCGTGGCAGCGAGAGCTACAGGCTCGTCAGTGGCTCCCAGGGCGGCTCTGCCTTCAGCAGCATCTTCCAGAACGAGAACTTCCAGCTGCAGCTCGCGCCCCCACCGGTGACTGAGGACTGATGTGCTCTGGGGGTACCTGTCCCTCCCCCTTCACTGACCTGGCAAGCAGAGACACATCCCACACTCTGTCCACACCTTATAGGGATTGTGCTTTATCCCTGGGGACCATTTCCTGTATCCTCAAAGGTGGAGCCTACAGAGGTGGCCATGCCAGAGCCTGTCGCACTGCATCTCAGCCAGTCACAGAGTCATTGGGATGCTGGGGTAGCCAGGCCCAGTGTGATGGCTGGGAGGGTTCGGGGGTGTCCCCCTCTTGATGTGTGTTATGTCAGTGCCCATCCACATAGAGGATTGGCCCATCGTGCCAATAAACCCCCTGTGTTAAAGCCCAATGCCTGCCCAGCTCATGGTCTGTCCAGCCAGGGGGCTAGCTACAGCACCTTGGCCAGAGTTCCCTTCATAGCTCAGAGCTAGGCACCCTGACTCTACTCAGAAGGGCACCTCTACCATGCACTACCCCAGTTCCCCTGTGGTGGGGCAGGACCTCCAGGGAGAGGAGCGCTGGGACTTTGTGTATCATTGATCCCAGGATCACAGGCAATCACCACACCCAGCATTGGGGGTGGGTCCCGCCTCCCCACCCTGATGCTGCACTGGGGAACCATCAGCCCCTAAATGCCACACAGATACAGTGGCTGCCCATGTAGGAAATCCCACCACTCCTGTGGGCACTAGCCATGAGCCCAGGTGAGCCACTTAACCCCTCAAAACCACTTACCATGGAGCTGCCCTGTTGGTGATTGAGATGATACAGGGAAGTGCCCAGCGCTGGGCAGGTATAGGTAGCTGTCCCAGGAATGCTGGTGTAGCTCGTGCCAGCCCTACCCCGAGGCTGGGGCTACACAGGGGCTGCCTCTGGGCAACAGAGGGAGAGGGCAAAATTGCGGGAAGTGGCTGGACTCCGAACAGTGACCAGTGGAATGCCCACTGTGCATGCAGCTACACTGAGGCCTGGCGGCAGTGAGTGACTCACCAGGACAACTGCTAAGCAAGTAACAGTGTGGCTTCTCAGTGAGCCCAGAGTTAAAGCCAGAGGAGGACCCTGTATTCAAGGCATAGCAGGATCACCCTTCTACCTCTAGTCTGGGGGACCAAGGAGGGGATACTGGTACAGTACACAACAGTATAAACTGTGATGTCAGGACTGTGAGGAGGGGTGGGAGCTCAGGGACCAGTCCAAGCAGAGTTGCTTTGTGCCGTCGCAGTAAAGCTGCCCTCTTAGGATAGCCTCACGGGACCCACAGAGCAGGACACAGAATTAAAAGGCAAGGAGTGAGAGCGCCCCTCTGCAGAAGACGGCTCCACAGACATCGCTGCATGAGCATTGTTCTAACACTCCAGAAAAGGAGCCAACCACAGAAAATGTGGTTTCCACACACTGGGGCATACTCTCCAGCTATGAAAAAAACAGAAGGGCCTCTTGCTCATTGCCACGTGATGGATGAGCCCGGAGGACATTAATGCTGAGGGAAGTTCAAGTGTGGCAGAGAGGCAGCCAGAGCAGGATCCTGGTCCTCTAGAGAGTGGGCAGGCCATGCTTGGCGGGAGCCAGAGCTGAGGGTGAGGTGGGGACCACACTTGGGAGGTGCCGGTGTAGGACACAAGGATTCAGTGTGCTCTGGAAATTGCTGAGAGTAGAGTCCAAGTGCTTCACCAGGTGAGAGTGATAAATACGTTAAGCAATACATGTGTTAAAAACCTAATGTAGCCATTGCAGGTGTATAGTCAAACAACAGGGTAAGCCATTAATAGGGGTCATCTTTATTTGGCAAAAGTGTCTGTTTCTGAAGAACTAAGACAGTTTACGGAATATCAGAACACCCCTATTAGGAGCAGGAGACGCTGAGGACTCATTCTGCCATGCCCCTTTTGCATTTTATCAGCCCCAAAGTTCCCCTCCTGATTGTCACTGCTGAGTCACAGCTCAGCAGTTTCCTGCTGTCCAGGTATGTCTTCTGGGTGGCACTGGAAAAACCTTGTCTCATCTGAGGGCAGGGGAGACCCCAGCTCTGGTACCAGGCCCCAGCTGAGCCTGGTTCTCGCCCTCTGGCAGCCTGACCTGTCCGCGGCCTTGGCACTTGGCACATGTCCTACCCTGTTGTGAAGTCCCTGTAGAGCAGTCCCTGAGGGCAAGGCTGTGACCTTCGCAGCCCCGCAGGCTTCCTGGGAGGGGCAGCTGCGATTTCAGGCCTTTGCATGTCCCGCAGCTGTAGCAGGTGCAGGGAGGATCACAAGGATGCCCACAAGGAGACTTCTGCCACCTTTGGGGAGAGCTGACATGCTGCTTTCCTAGTCTCCCTGTCTGCCAAGATCTGCCTGGCACTGACAGGAGAGTGGGTGGGGCTCCGGGTGGCCAGAAAATAACAGTGATGTCATAGCCTGTCCCTCTGCACCTGCCAAACAATGGTGGCCACATGGATGGAGGACACCCATGTCATGCCCAAAGCCAGCTGCCAGCTTGAGGGGAGTGCCTGTGCCCCTTCCCCTTCTCCGAGCCCCTCCTAAGGCCACCCCCATGCATGCAAGGGGAGGTCTCCAAAAGTTAATGAAACTTGTTCTCTGCATGAGAACACCAGGCAGGGATTTCAAAGTTGTTTGCACCAAAATAAACTAATTCCACTGACTGAGAAACTTCCTGTAGTGCCTTCCTGTCAGCCATCTCCTCAGGCCAGACACTGCTGGCCACCCCAGATGTAAAAAGGGACCGACACACCACACTGGGTACCTGTCCCTTTTTTACAGGAATGTTTTCTTTAAGTTCTGGCCGTTGCATGAGATAAGAATTAAGAGTGGAGTCAAACAATATGCAGAAATGAAAGGATGTCCTAAAACTTTTGTAAAAATGTTTTTGTTTATTTGAAAGAGATATAGATGGTTCTCCTTGAACAGCCGCACTGGCCAGCCTTGAGCCTGGTGAAGACAGGAGCCCGGGACTCCATGGGCAGTGTGGCTGTAGGGCCCAAGCCCTGGGGTCATCCTCTGCTGCCTTTCCAGGTGTCTTCGCAGGTGGATGGCAAGTGGGGCAGCTGGGACCCAGATCCATGCTCAAGGTGGATGTCAGTTCCACAGGCGGCAGTTTCATTCACTGCACCACAGCTTTGGCCCTGAGAACAAGCTTTAATGTGAGTGTGTGCAGTGTACAGTCACATATGATTATGGGCAGCCCTGGAAAGTTGGCCATGAGAGGGGTAGAGAATTGCCCCTGACGAGAGAACCCCAAGGAAGGCAAGAAAAGGAAACCCAAAAAGAACAACGAAAGGCTGCTCCCAAGGCCAGCAGTGCCTTCGTGGAGGAGGGGCTGGTTTGGCAGGACTTGGTGGGCATTGGGCTTTCTGGAAGCTTCAAGGCCTCCTTCCTGTTAGATTAATCCACTACCTGTGAAAGGAAAATCCAGCTGAGTACAAACAAGCCTTTATTAAACAAAGGGAAGTTCACACCTGGGCCTTTCCCTTGTGCCACGGATGGTGAGGAGTGGACAGGACTACCTGCAAGAGGAAAGAGCAGGGTGGGCTGTGAGAACAAAAGCTTTATACCCTTATCTGGGCCTTAATAAGGTAAGATATATTAGCCCTTCCATTATTAGCCTGTTATTTATTGGCCTTGAGTGATGCTGCATTCCCTGGTGAAGTCAAAGTAAGCCCAGGCCTAGGGGCTTACTCCAACCGCCACCGTTCCCATAGCAACCATCACTTCCCAGTCCCAGGTGAGACCCTGGAGCACAGTTGGAAATTGGGCCCCTTGTCACTGTTAGGCTGGGCAGGGACACATCAGTTGGTAAGCAAAAAAACTTGCCTATATGGCCAACACTCAGTTGCCTGCTCTTTTTAATTCTAACACAAAATGGCTGAGAGCTTTCAGCTGCCCCGGTACTTCTGCTCTGGGCGGGAGACACAGGCTAGCCGCCTGCTCCGCCCTCCCCTCCCAAGTCCAGGTGTGGGCACTGAAGGCGGGCGCAGGTGAGGGCGGCCCGTGGCCAGCCAGCGCCATCGGGAAAGCAGAGAGCGGCCCTCGCAGGACCACAGGCTGTCGAAGTGTCCCTCTGTGAGTTGACCCTGGCCTTAGGTATGGAGTTCCCGTGGTGGGCAGGGCCCTCGTCGCCCAGGGCAGCCTGACTTACCGGGGCTGGAAGAACGGGGCCAGGTGGTGGCTTCTCAGTGCGAACGCCGGTTCGGGGTGGTGCCGCCTGGACCAGCCCTGGGCTCCGCTGGGCTGTGGCTGCTCGGTGAGTCAACAGAGGTGAGGTGGGCGCCAGCCACCCCAATGTGGCAGGGTGGGAAGTGGGGAGATAACCGGGCCCATGTGTGAGAGGGCGGGGGCGCACCCCCAGGAGGTAACTGGTGTTTGACACCAGAATAGAGGCCTGCCCCGCCAATGGTTTCACAGGGGACCTTGGCCTTCCCAGATATTCTGAGCTCCAGATACCCTTGGGCAATTAAACCCTCCATGCCCCCCACCAAGGCAGGCACCTACCTCAGGGAAGGAAGGAGGGGGAGTGGCATCTGTGGGGACCAACGTCCCGTCTGACTTCAGGGGCCTCAGTGGTAGCTGGCTGCATTGACTGCTCCCATTCCTCATAGTCCCCTCAGCTGCTTTTCAAGAGGCCTTTGGTAGCCAAGCCTGGGGTACCTTTGGCCTTTATGCCTTAGTGGAGATGTCAGAGTCACTCCCTGTGTGCCCTCAGGGTGGCCCTGCAGCCACTCTGCCAGGCCTATCCTGGCTGGGGAGTCTGAGTAAGAACAGCCACCCGTGGTGAGCAGGGAAAACAATAGGGCACTGACAGCTGCCTTGGGGAATGCATGATTGAAGGCTTGGAAAGCCTGGGGAAGCAATACAGTTCCTTGTGGAAAGGTTTTTTCCCCCAGGAAACAGCCCCAAGGTCAGCTGCTGTGAGCTGCAAAGGCCTCCTGCAGCTGCGTGGGGCACTGCCACCACAGCCTGTCTCCAGGAAGCTTTCCTCAGCCCAGGAGTCTGCTGTCCCTCCACCCACAATGAGCATGCTCTGTGGGCTACTTCTGTGGGGGGCATGGATGTGTCCAGCCCCTGCCGAGTCCTCCCTGGCCCAGGCCAGTCACCTAGCACCAAGTATGTGCCAGCATTGTGGGAGAGACTGTGCGAACATTTTTAAAGTCACTATCAAATAAACTTTTAAAAATATTTATTTATTTGAAAGAGAGCAAGCTCAATATTCTATCCATTGATTCACTCCACAAATGGCTGGAGCTGAGCTGGGCCAGGCCAAAGCCAGGAGCCTGAAAATGTCATGTGTGTCTCCCACATGGGTGCAGGGGCCCAAGGACTTGAGCCTCCTCGACTGCTTTCCCAGGCCATAAGCACGGAGCTGGGTGGGAAGTGGAGCAACCAGGATGTAAACTGGGGCTTTGAAAGGATACCAGTCACAGGTAATGGCTCCACCTGCAGTGCCATATGCCTCAAGCTTTTTATAGATACAGTGTACATAAGCCACCTGTGTACAGCTGGATTACTTCACAGAGGCCACATTTGGTCAGCCAGCATCTGGTGAAACAAACAGAAGTGACCAGCACCCTTCTCCCCCAACTCCCAGTGTCCCCTGAATTCTCTCTCACACCAGCTCTACCCCAGGCTAACCACTGACTCTGAAAGCGCTTTGCCAGCTTTGGACTTGTCATGGGTCAGTTACCTGCAGTGGACTTCTGGAATGGCTGCTTCCAGCCAGTGTTCCATCTGTGATTCAGCCCTGCCATTAGTACACGTCACTGAGTCACAGTGTGTGACTGTCCTGTAACACGTCTCCTCTGTTGTGCACAGGCAGTGAGCTGTTCCTAGTCCCAGCCCGGGCTGATTGTGTTTCCATCGGCTGTTTCTGACTGATGCAAGCACAGCAAGGGTTCTGCAGTTGGGGGGCAGGCTGGATGAGCACCCCGTTAAGTGCATGCTAGCCAGGGTGGATGAATAGGTCTCCCCAGTCCCAGGGTAAATAGGACAGGCAGGATGGCAGATGCCTCATTCACCCCTCTCCCCAGAGTTCTTTGCTCTCATCAGCTTCCTGCCCAGCCGGGGCTGGTTGGCCCTGGGGCCTGGGAGGACCAGCTGTTAAGCTGCAGGGTGCTTAGGGTCGGGGTGCAGCTTCACCCTGAGGCCCTCATTGCTGTGTATCTCATCTCCTAGGTCAGGGTTGGGGCCTGAGGCACACACCCCTGCCCCTGGCAAATGCAGAGACCTCATGATTTCCCTGGCCTTGGCTGTTCTTTTTCTAGAATGAGTGAGCCCATCACCCTGCACACCCCCAAGGATCCCTCTCCCAGGATGTCTGCCCATCTGCTTCCTTCCTTGCTGCTGCTGGCCTCCAAATGCTGGGCAAACTCTTGTGGGCCCGGCGGCTTTCTGCTGGAGTCAGGGGCCACTGGGCAGCCCTGGCAACTCAAGACCTCTGTGACGCTGGCACATGGAGAGAAGAGACCCTTTGGGGGTAACACCGGCCCCTCCTGGTCCCCCAAGCATCTCAAGTGACCCCAGTGAGCTCTAGCTGAGCCTATAGGCCTTAGACTGATACCCACTGCAGGCCCCCATGTTTATCTCAGGGCCTGGCTTCCTCTGGACACCTCAATCCCCATGTCCACCTACGTGCCCAGCAGCCACTGCCTTAGGCCAGTCCCCATACAAGCTTCACAGGCCTCAGCAAAGCTGCCTTTGGGTGCTTCCTCCCGACCCCAGGCTGACTGCTCTTCGGGTGATCATGCTGACAGGATGGCTCTTCCCATTCCTCTGCATGAGGGGCTGGGCCCACAGGTGTTTGCTGAGCACTGGCATCAGACATCGCAGATACTGAAGATGAGGGAGCACACCTGCCCCCTGGAGGACTGCAGAGGTACCAGTGGGGTAGTTAGGAGGTGTTCCTGGTGGGGGATCCAAGTGCAGGGGACAGTTGTGAGGTGGGTGATGCTAAGGATGGGCAGGAGTTGAGGGAAGGAGACTGTGCAGGTGGGAGCCAGGGCTGGGGTTCCAGGCTGGAGAACATCCCAGCCTTAAGTCCTCAGAGCTGGGGGTTGTGCCCGAGTGGCCGCACAGTACTACCACCCCCTGGTGATGGGACAGAGGGCTGAGCAAGGGGCTCCCTCGGTCCGTCAGCTGCAGCAGGGTGGAGCTCTGCCCCGCGAGGACCTGAGTGTGGGGAGGAAAAGGGGCTGCCGTGGGCCTCAGTGGTGGGAAGAGGCCACGGGCTCTCAGGAGACCTTTACGGCTGACTGACTCGTGGCTGCGCCAGCTGTCAGCAGATTCGCTGCCTGCAGGGGTACCTTTAAGTGGCAAGCTGGTCTTTGGAAGAAAGCCTGCAAGAATGCCAGCCAGGCTGTACGGACACACGGGCCTCCTCAGAGCCCTGTGATCCCTGCAGAAGCCTGGCATGCGTGCATGTGTGTATATGTGTACAAGTATGTACACAAGAGGCACAGAAAAGGAGAGGTGGGGCAGGCGTGTGGGTGTCACTCCATCCCCCTGGATGAGTCACAGCCTGTGGGGGAATGGGCACAACAGGGTCCTGCCAGCAGCGCTGCTGAGGGGCTCAGTTGTGGTCCCCCGTGCTCCTCCTCTGCAATGTGAAGTCCCCTTCGGGGCAGCTGTGGAGGCCGTGCCAGCCAGCCTTAATAAACACTGGCACTCCTGATAAGTAATGGATTGATTCAGCAGTGGCTTGTGAGGCTGTTCAATAGAAGCCAAGCCCAGAGCTGTGCTTTTCTGGGTGTGCTGAGTAAAGAACGCGCTCCCGGGCTTATTGCTTGGAAGCTCAGACTCTGAGCCTTGGCACCCAGAGGACGTGCCTGGGCAGCGCAGGGCACCTGCCTTCCTCGCCACCCGGCCCACAGCCAGACCCATGGCGAGGAGTGTCATGTGTGGCAGGCACACATGGAATATGAAGCGGTGACTCTGAGATGGCTGACTGGGTGGGTGGGGACAGGAGCTTTCCATGATAACAGTCTGATGCAGCCAGCAAGAACACGGGGGAGTTCCAGCTTCATCTTCAGTGGTGACCAGGGAGCGACAGCGTGGGTGTCAGAGCTTACATATGCTCTTTAAGACGATGGTGCGTGCTGTGTGTGGGGCCACGCGTCGTGAACACTTCACAATTGGAAAATGTGGGCTTTGGTTGGTTTGTTAAAGCTTGTATCATGGTGGTGTTTACGCTGGACAGAACTCTCTAATCGGGCGGAGGGACACGGTGGCTTTCCAGACTCCCAAAAGGCAGATTTGTTCTGACACAAAAGAAAAAACAAAACTCACGTTTATTTTTACAAGGCAGTATTTTGCTAAAGTATTACACATAAAGGAAATTGGAGCTGTCTATAGGAAAATGGTAATTTTAGGAAATCACAGGAGACTCAACATTGTGCTTAAACTTTGAAACAGGTGTTAGAAAATCTGAGCACAGCGGGTGAGCACAGCAAGGTGTGTGCATGGAACCTTGGCATATGGGGCACGAGGCCACACGGCGGCGGGGCCGGAACCCAGGGACCGGCCTTCAGGCGCTGGGCCTCCGCCGGTCCTGCTGCCATCACGGAGGAGCCCAGGGCTTCCTTTGAAACCGTGAAAAGCAGCCATGACCAAACTTCCAAAATCCTAGCGGAGATGTGCCCTGGCGGGTCTGCTGAGCCAGTCCCCTCCCCCAGAGAGACATGGCAGCTGCTGTGAGGCCCGCGGGGTGCCAGCTGCCTCCACGCTGCCCGCACCTCCTCTGGAGAAGCCGCGAAACAAAACTGTGAAAACCACTTTCCTCATGTCAAAAGCTTCAGAATGCAAGAGAATTTTTGCAGAGACGATGTGGGAATAGTCAAGAGCTGACTGTATAAATATTTTGTTTAACTTGTGCTTTTTTCCTTGCCTAGTAGTATCTCTACCGCCAAACCTATAAGCATGTTTTGACAGCTTTCTAAATGATCTGCTTGCATCCTGTTACCGAGAAGAGAACTGAATTTGCATAAAAGGAGCTTGTGAGGATTGGTTCCCAACAGAACTGTGATGTTTCAGGCTGGGAAACTGGAGGTTAAGAAGTGAAACTACCATTCCTAAGGTAAAAATCAAATCCAAAAATCCGGATGTGGGAAAACAGCTCCGAGCTCAAGGGACGCGCTATTGTTTTCTGTGTGGTGTCGCCCTGAACTGGAAGTCTGCCCTTTCAGGAAAGCAGGGTACTTTTTGTACCCCCCGGGGTTGTCCTCCAAATCTTATTTCAAATCTTAAAGGCATGGCATAAAAGACTGAGATGTGCCAAGAAAGCCTGATTTCGTAAGGACACCAGATCACTGTAATCACAAGCATTTTAGTTGCTTTGTCATTTCTCAGAAGAGTCATGAGCATTATCTGAAACTTGAAAGAATCAACTAGAGTTGATTCTACCTAATAGCTGCTGTGGCAACTCTGAACAAAGGGCAGCAGTGCCATGTTTCTGCCAAGGCTCCAGACAGTGGCTTACCCATCCGCTCGGGCCACCTGCCCCTGCAGCGGGCATGCCACTTGGCCTGGGTGGCACAGCTCTCACGCCTCGCCGTATGCACGTTCGTGAGAAGGCTCTGTAACACGGCTGTGCTTGTTGTCCAGAGTCTGTGTGGCAGTCTAAGCATTGTCTAAAGTGCCTACGATATGCTCATACAAATCAGCCGTGACGTGCTGGGCTAGGCAGAAATTTTTCCTGTGACACAGAGCACAAAGGCCTAGACTTGAAGTTGGAACTACACACTTGTGCATTCGCCTCAGCTGACTCTGGAATGCTAGCGTCAGCGAGTCCAGTTTGAACGTGTATTTCAGAGAACCATTACTGTTAACTGTGTGAGGACAAAACAATTCTTGTGCTTACTTAGAAAGGCTATTTTGAGACCCAGAAGTATCTGGTATTTAGAATCCAATGGAATACTTCCAATTCTATAAAACAGTAGTAAGTGAGGCTTAGTGAGTTTTTAATTATAATCAGATTGTGCAAACATTTAAAGTGATTATCTACCATTATCAAATCCAAAAATTCCATTAAAATCGTGGCTAATCTGAATGGCAGTTCAAGAGTGTAAAAAAACAGGAACCTTGACAAAAGTCACAGAGCAGTGCTGAGGATCCTACCTGGGAGCTCTGGCCCAGCGGCCGTGGGCTCTGGAGGCCCGGCTGTTGAATGAGTGGGTCTGGAGTGTGGAATAGAAAATTGCCCCACTGGGGGGGATGTAGGCTGCTCCCCCACGGGGTGGAGCTCCACAGGGTCTTGACTCAAGCCCGAGTACTGACCACTGACCACCAGCCTCACTACGGTGGCCTGGGAGGTGGCTTGCAGGCAGGCATCTACCTTCCAGGGCAGATCCATGTGCTCAGAGCCCCCGGGCTGCCCCCAGGCTGCTGTTCTGGGAGCTTCTCTTACCATCTTGGTTTCATTTTTTTATGTCTTTAGGTTTCATAGAAAGTGGGAGATTTATGCTGCATTCTCACCCAGCATAAACAGCTTTAACTACCACTGTTTGCAAAGGAAAATGCACACCACCTTCTAAATCCTACAGATGATTTGGGCACCTAACCCTAACAGTTCTAATAAACCACTTGACCCACACACATACATGATTAGCAGGTTCTTCCGCGAGCGGTGAGTGAAGGATGCCAAGTGGAGACTTCAGAAAGGAATACAGCAGGCCTCTTCTCATCTCTGAAAGGACGCAGGTGACCGCGACCCTCAGGGACGGCGTGATGCCACAGAGCCCACTTGCAGAGACCTGGGCTGTGAGCAATACTGTTCTGTGCCTTGGTCCGCGTGTCCTTAGGCCAACTGTTAGAGTTGTTGGATTCTGAACTGTGCCTCACCAATAGAAGTGGCAGACACCCAACGCACACGAGAACATCTGGCGTTAATGGAGACGAGGAGCAGGATTCTGCAGGGAGCCACACCAGAGGATGACTCCTCTGTGCATGTGAGACAACATGTACAAGAGCACATGAGGATCCGCGTGCTCAAGGGAATGAATATTACACAAAATATTTTCTCCTGACTTCGCAGCAAACTAATTCAACTGCTTCTGCATTTGCATAAAAAAAATCCATGCATCATACTGAATGCTAACCCATTTTTCACTTAAGCCATTCTAATGCTTCATACAACTAAATGAAGCAGAAGTAATCAAACCTATTAGATTCATTCCTAATCCCTAAAGGACTTCTGTCTTTAGCATTTCCATGCTAACTAAAACTATTACTGTATTGTTTTGTCTCAATGTGGTTGCCTCCTAAATAGAATATCTATGTAACTTAAAGTTATCTCCAGGTTTGGAGAATAATTAAGAAAAGCAGGAAAATGTTGGTGACCCCCCCACACACATACTCAAGAAGCCAACCTGAAGCCAGAACCTATCCCAGCTGGCCCAGGCCAAGTCCACCTGCTTCCTGCACAACCCCTGCTGGGCTGTGCGCTGTGTCACAGTGGGGATGGGCACCCTGTGACAGGTGGGCTGGGCTCAGCTAATGCCAGGCGCAGCAAGAAGCTGAAGAGGTCATCTCTACCATGGAAGTCCAGCTCAGCCCCAGGGTGCCGTGTCACTGCTGGCCACGCCAGGCCGTGCTGGCCTCCACTGGCTCTCCAGGTGTAAGCCAAGGCAGCTCTGGCCCCATCTCGGTACAGATGGTCCAGAGAGGGCGAAGGGAACGGATGATTTTCCCCAGTGCACGCGCTGTTCAGCTGCACCCATGGGTCCTGCAGGTGAGGGGTGTCTGTGAGCATGCCGAGAACCATGCCAAAAGCCGTTCTGAGGGAGACTGACAACCTGGAACATGGCGTCGTCATGGCTCCGGCAGCGCCTTGGTCTCCTCGGCGCTGCTCTGCTGTCTTCATCCGCGGGAAGTTAAGGCTGGGTCATGACTCCTGACACCAGATGCTACATAGAAAGGAAGTCAAGATACAAAAGGGAAACTATCATAAAAAGAATGTCTCAGTTAAAGGACTAAGGATGACGCTCATCAGCAGACCACTGAGCTGCTCGTGTTGGAGAGGGTAGAAAATACCAACGGCGTTGGAAAAAGGATCCAGCAGACGCAAGTATAAAATCTCAGCCAGGGCCCTGTGGTCGCGCTTCCTCTCACACGGTGGTTTCTATGGTTTCAATGACTTCCAGATCCGACTGTGATGGGGACAGGAGGGTACACTCGTCCGGCTCCCAGCTGCTCTCGGGGCTATAATCTTCCTCGGAACTCAGTTCTGCTCCTTCTGTGTCCTCGTCGCACGACTCCACGTAGTGAGCCCCGATTGCATTGATCCCAGAGTCCTCAGAACTGGAGGGAGAAGAGCAGGGATCTATTTTTGGTGTGTCGCTCTCTTTTGAAACTAAGGCATCGTGTGCGGAGACCTCTTCGGGGCTCGTCTTGTGGGAGTGTGGCGCTGGCTGCTTCTGCACATAACACATCTTCCCGTTGATGCATTTGACCTGATAGTTGTCAATGAAGAGATCAGAAATCATACAGTACCTTGGGGAGTCAGGGGGCAGGGGCGGTTGGAAGACAGACGCAAATTTCAGGAAGTGTTGGGTGAGGGAGACGGAGATCTGGATGGTGCTGGGGGGCTCCCGGGGCCGGGCAGGGATCTCCGTGCTCGGGAGCTGCTCCACCGGGGTCATGGGCTGGTACACGTACTTGCCTGTGGGGACACAGAGAAGATGGCTGAGTCAGAGTCTCGCACAAACCCCAGGAACTCGCCGTAGCACTTTGCTTCTGAGGACTCAAACATGTTTTAAAAATACTTTAGTTAACATCTCAAGAGAAACCTGGAATAGAATCATTCAATGTTGTCACTACCAACTAAAAATAGAGCACAGTATGGAAGTCTCATCGCAAACTCAACTCCTTAATTTCTAAGTAATTTGAATGCTCTGCAGTAACTGAGAGAACACACAAACAACCTGACATGAGTTAAAAATCACACCAAGACAAAGACTGTCCGTAAACATAAGACGTAAAAGGCACATGTTATAAAAATCCCGTTTTAAATCTCTAGTAAGAGAATGAGTTATCCTTAATTGGAAAGAATACGTACCAACTTACTGGAAATGTGGAAGATACTTACTTTCTATGTTTTAACCAAACATACACATGTTAATTTAACACCACTGGCCTGCTGGGCTGTCTTGGCCCTCCTCAGTAGCTGGGCTAAGGTTCAGGGTGGGAGATGATCTCCCAAGATTCAGCCCACGAGTAGCTTCGGAAAAAGCATTCTTCCCGGCTTCAAGCTGGAGTAAAAGCCCAAGCAAGGGATCAGGGGACCATGAAACCAGGAAGCTTCTCCTCCGGCCTCCCCACCCTGTGGAGCCCTCAGCTGGTTCTCACAGACTGGCATGCAAGTGAAAGGCAGACAGATCTGGTCCTAACATGTCCCTTTCCTTGTTTTATTTCATTTAGCATTTGGCAGTGCCTCTCAGGTGCCAAGTACTAAGGAAACAGAGATGAAAATTTCCCAATCTGTAAGTCTAAAATGATTTCAAAATAATAAAGCTAGCGGCATTTGCCATGTGATTAAGATGCTGGTTGAAGTACCTGCATCTCACATCAGAATCTCTGGGTTTGATTCCTTGGCTCTGCCTCCCGACTCCAGCTTCCTGCTTAACACAGACCCCAGGAGGCAGCCTCATTCTTGCCACCCACACGGGAGACCTGACTGGAGTTCTGGCTCCTGGCTTCAACCCAGGCACTGCAGACACTTGGGAGTGAACTAGTGCCTTCTCTTTCTCTCCTGCATTCCTGGATAAAAGACTTATGGTGGGGGAAATTCTTGAGGCAGTTCCATTGTGGGCATGATCTTGGAGGATTTCTTTCCTAATTTGGCCTACTTATTAATTAACTTATGTCATATTTTCAGCATATACATATGACAGGGCTATTTTATTTCTAAGCTTTATTTTTTATTTGAAAGACAAATTTACAGAGAGAATGAGAGACGGATTCTCTGTCTGCTGGTTCACTCCCCAAATGGCCTTAGCAGCCGGAGCTGAACTGATCCCAAGCCAGGAGCCTCTTCCATGTCTCTCAAATGGGTACACGGTCCCACAGCTTTGGGCCAACCTTCCTGGCTTTTCCAGGCCATACGCAGGGATGTGAAGTGGCCCAGCCAGGACACAAACTGGTGCCCATAGGGATTACCAGCACTTACAGTGGAGGCTTAGCCAGTTGAGTAACCATGCCAGCCCCTACCTCTTTAAAAAAAAAAAAAAAGATTTATTTTCACTGGAAAGGCAAATTTACAGAGAGAAGAACAGAAAGATCTTACTAAGAAACTGTATCATGAAAAATAAATTAAAGAAAAGATCTTCTATTCACTGGTTCACTCCCCAAATGCCACAATGGCTGGAGTTGAGCTGAGCCGAGCCAATCTGAAGCCAGGAGCCAGGAGCCTCCTCTAGTTCCCCCACATGAGTGCAGGGTTCCAAGGTTTAGGGTCATTCTCCACTGCCCTCCCAGACCACAAGCAGGGAACTGCATGAGAAGTGGAGCAGCCAGGGAGACAAACTGATGCCTACATTAGGATCTGACACTTAGAAGGGGAGGCTAAGCCAATTAAGCCATTGTCCTGGGACCCCTATTATTTTATCAAATTTTTTAAAAATTATTTTTATTGGGAAGTTAAATTTACAGAGAGAAGGAGATACAGACTGATCCTCCATCCTCTGGTTCACTCCCCAAGTGGTTGCAATGACTGGAGTTCAGCCAGTCTGAAGCCAGGAGCCTCATCTGGGTCTCTCACATGAGTGCAGGGTCGCAAGGCTTTGGGCCATTGCCTACCTGTTTATCAGGCCACAAGCAGGGAGCTGGATGGGAAGTGGAGCAGCTGGGACACAAGCTGGTGCCTATAAGGGATCCTGGCGCATTCAAGGTAAGGACCTTAGCCACTAGGCTACAATGCCAGGCTCTATTTTATTCTTATGTTAAAAATATTTCGGGGCCCGGTGGTGTGGCCTAGCGGCTAAAGTCCTCACCTTGAACGTGCCGGGATCCCATATGGGCGCCGGTTCTAATCCCAGCAGCTCCACTTCCCATCCAGCTCCTTGCTTGTGGCCTGGGAAAGCAGCTGAGGACAGCCCAAAAGCTTTGGGAACCTGCACCCGTGTGGGAGACCTGGAGGAAGTTCCTGGCTCCTGGCTTCGGATCGGCATAGCATCGGCTGTTGCACTCACTTGGGGAGTGAATCATCGGATGGAAGATCTTCCTCTCTGTCTCTCCTCCACTCTGTATATCTGACTTTCCAATAAATAAATAAATCTTAAAAATCTTTGTGTGCTTACTTACCTGTCATTTATACTTTCCGTTACTGAAATGTTTTAACATATTCTTCTATCTGCTCCATATGTAAATATGATATACTAATTTTTCTTGAGAGCAGGAGCAGGGACATTAATATCATATAATGTGGGATCCATGACAAAGACCAGAAAGTGAGTGAGGGGCTGTAATTCAGTGAAGACAACATTTGTAAATATATACCAATAAAATGGCATGCACACATTTTTACTCCCTGTATACACTTCCATAGAGGAGAGAAAACGTACTGTGTCTGGCTTATTTCACTTAGCGTAATGATCTCCGATTCCAACCATTTTGTTGTAGATGTCAGGATTTCATTCCTTTTTATGGCTGAGTAAACACATGAAAAAATGCTCATTGTTACTAGCCATCAGGAAATGCAAATAAAAACTGCAATATCATCTCACTCCTTAGAATGGCTGTTAATCAAGAAGTAAAAAGAAAAAACCGTACAGCAAATGCTGGTGAAGGCATGGAGAATGTGAGGTTTGTGGGAATGCAGATTGGCACAGCCACCATGGAAACCAGTATGGAGACTTTGGAAAACCAAAACCAGATCTACCATATGACCTAGCTATCCTACTTCTGGAACATATCCAAAGGAAATGGAATCAGTGTACGCAAGAGATACCTGCATTCCCATGTTTATTGCAGCCCAATTCCCAACACCAAAAGACAGGGAACCAACCAGGGTGTCCACCAACTGATGATAAAGAACACACACAATGGGATATTACTCTGCTATATAAAGAATGAAGCTTTTCTAAAAATTGTACACCTTGCAGTACGGTATGTAATGGTCAAATCAGGGAAGCCAGCATTTCCATCTCCTTAAGACTTTAGAAAATTTTAACATTTATTATAGAAGTGAGGGACTTACAGACCCATGTGGGCCTCCAATCAGGATGGAGCGGGTCAGTGTGGGACACAAGAAATGCTTCCGTGCTTCCTCGTGTGTGCTGAGGCAGGAGGAGGGCTGCTCCTGGCTGTCAGGCCACATCAGCGCCAGGGACAGGGAAGGGCACTTGATGTCACCTTGACATCTCCTTAAAGTTTAAAGCACATTAACTTGTAATAACCGTACATATTTCTGGGGTCCAGTGTGAACATACAGGTACCCATGTAAAATGATCAAATCAGGATAATGACCACATCTGCCTCCTGTTTAATATTGAATGTTGGTGCTCCTCTCATTATTTATAAAATACACCATAGGTCATTGTAAACAGTGGCTACTGCATTGTGCTGTGGACACCAGAACAGTCTGTATTCCTTTTGTGTTTTGATACGTGGTATCTAACCTCCCTCAGCCCGCCCTCCCCCTCCATATCCCATAATTCCATGCTCAGAAAAGCTTAAACTTTCCTGAGAGAGAACATGAATTTTTTGTCTTTTGTGTCTGATGCATTTAGCACAATCTCCCCCAGTTCTATTTTGCTTTAAAAAAAAAAAAAAAAGGCAACAGAACTGGCACTTCAGTTAAGCAAGTTTAACCACTTCCAGCAATACCAGCATTCCACGTGGGTGCTGCTTTGTGTCCCGGTTACCCCACTTGTTATCGAGCTCCCTGCTAACGTACCGGAAAGCAACAGAGGATGGCCCAAGTGCTTGCCCCCCTTCAGCCACGTGAGAGCTGCAGCTCTCTGGGTAGCAGGCTGTACTGCAAACCATGATGACCGGGATGGCTGTGAAGCCTTGCAAGATCCTGAATTATGGAGAAGCCACAATATCGTCTACCACTACTGTGCTCACTGAGAGAACAAAATGAACCAGCACTTCTTCAACAGCAGGATTTGGAACAAAGGGAATTCTGGCCATTTAGTGAAGAAATTCAGTAATCTTGTATTCTCTGAATGGTCTTCTTAGTGCTTACTGCTGTTATTTACAAAATAAGCATGAGAATTTTAAAAGCAGATCTTAAAAGGAAATTGGGGCTTGAAGAAAAGTAAAGGGAGAGGGCCCAGCGGCTTGGCCTAGTAGCTAAAGTCCTAACCTTGAACCCGCCGGGATCCCATATGGGCGCCGGTTCTAATCCCAGCAGCTCCACTTCCCATCCAGCTCCCTGCTTGTGGCCTGGGAAAGCAGTCAAGGACGGACCAAAGCTTTGGGACCCTGCACCTGTGTGGGATACCTGGAAGAAGTTCCTGGCTCCTGGCTTCGGATCAGCATAGCATCGGCCGTTGCGCTCACTTGGGGAATGAATCATCGGATGAAGATCTTCCTCTCTGTCTCTCCTCCTCTCTGTATATCTGACTTCCCAATAAATAAATAAATTTTTTTTTTTTAAAAAAGGGGGGGAAGTAAAGGGTGGCTCTAGGTACCATATGATATAGCACTCCCACGTGT